ATAATAGTAATACACTTTTATATTACGAGTTACATATTTAATTACAGATAATACTTTTTATTTTACGTACATCTGCATGTATTTTCTGAAAGTGCAAAAATACTGTAAATATTATATAGTAAATGTACTGTAAAAAAAAATGAAATAATCGTTATTTGTTGTTATTGTCAAAATACTTAAAATAATGTTTTGGATTGTTAATTTATAGTTAATATCTGTCATTTTACAGGATTTTGCAAGTTATTTAAAAAAACATGATAATTACTATAAAAATTTACAGTTATTTCCTGTAAAATTACGATCTTTTTTTACAGTGTACAGGATCTTTTAATCTCCTATTGCCCCTCTAGGGCATTAAGATCCCAGAGTGCAGGTCTGCTGGTGGTTCCCAGAGTCCACAAAAAAAGGTCAGGTGCTAGAGCTTTCGGCTACCAAGCCCCGTTCCTCTGGAACCAACTTCCAGTGACGATTCGGGAGGCAGACAGTGTCCACACAGTAGGTTAAAGACTTTCCTCTTTAGTACAGCGTACAGTTAAGACTGGTTTTAAACCCCCTTTTATAGATTCTCATGGACCCTTCCTTTCATGGAATTGTATTGTACTCTAACTGTATTTGTGTCATTGTGTTATGTTCCTTTTTAAATTACGTTTGTTGTTTTTACATTGTTTTACATTGCCAATTTTGTTTGTTGACTTGTGAAGCCCTCTGAGACAAATAGGATTTGTGATTTTGGGCTATATAAATAAACTTGAATTGAATTTAATTGAATTGAATCATGCACCTGGAGGGGATGCATTTTTATCCATGGTGCCTTCTGGTGCAGCTTCTTCTTTGGTGTCCTCTGAAAAATAAAAACACAGTGTGTTATGTTATGAAGTTTATCAGAATCAGAAACAGGTTTATTACCAGGTAGGTTGAAAGATATTGTATACATTGTGTGCATTAAACTCCCAATATGATCAAACTTCAAAAACCATTGGACAAAACATTCATTTTATAATCAGCTATTGGTGGTAAATACAGTGAAGAAGAGAGACCTCTGTCCTGAGTTAAACAAACAACATGAATTAAAAGTTAATATAGAACAAAAAGATCTGATTTAATATTCACATTTTTAACCTTCATCACTGTTTTTAATTTATTTTTAACATTATATTTATTGGGAATTTCATCATAGAAAGAACATACAGTCACACATACATACATACATACATTAACGTGATAGTAATATTATATGGGAAGATAACACTCCCCTCCCCCCACCCTCAACATCGAACATGCAGGGAAACCTCACAGATTGAAATGAAACAGGAGTAAATACAATCAGATAAAGTAAAGGATGTGAAACAATAATACAAAACATTTATATGAAAGAATAACTCGTTTCTATATTTAGAGATAATAATAATTCAGTCAGACAACTCACGTATCTCTTTAACATGTTTATTAGAAGCAGCATATAGTTGAGTTTGGCGACTAGGCTCGGGCCTCATCACTCCACAGATATACATAGCACGATGAGTGATGATTAAATAACTAACCCCGAGCCTACAGGTGGAAGCTGGGGTGGAAGCTGGGGTGGTGGTGGGGCAGGCAGGCAAGCAGCAGCAGCATGAACACAGCAGCGGTAGCAATGTGAACGCAATAGCAGGGCACGAACGCAGCAGCAGCAGCAAGCAATGCATGGAGAGAGATCTGGCAGGTTAAATAGAGCGGCATATTAAGGAGACTCTGTTTGGTTGCTTGTAGAGTGGCAAGGGGCGGTATGTATGAATGCAGCGTAAGTGCTCGAGTTGACTGCCTGAACTAGCTCGCAGGCTTCGCTCCATTTATAAGCAGCATTGTTATTATTCCTTATTTTCTATCAGTGTTTGATAGCGATATTCATCAATTTCACTCATCAATTTCCATTTGATCACTTTCAAGAAAATGCATGAACGTGTCCCATATGTCCTTACATTTATTTACTTTCCTTTTGATCACATAGGTTCATTTGTCCAAAGCGAGGCAGGACACCATTTCCCGCAGCCACATTGCAGGTGTAGGACCATCCGTATTTTTCCACCTCAGTGCAATTGCTCTCCTAGCCTGAAGTAGGCAAATATTAATCAAGGGCACTGCTTTACGGCTTGGTACCAATTGATCAGGATATATACCTAATATACAGAGCTTTGCGTCGAGAGGGATCTGTAGAGCAGTTACATGTGCAATCAGGTTAACTATGTCTTTCCAGAATGATTGGATTTGTTGGGATTCCCACATACAGTGCAGCAGAGTACCAACATTCACTATTTTATTTTTAAATAATATGACTGTTGAATAAATCTCATGTTTGCTTGTGTTCACAGCTCACCTGGACGCGTTGCCTTTTTATCCACAGGGCCTTCTGGTGCATTCACATAGTCAGCTTCTTCTGTGATTTCCTCTGGAAGATAAACACATACTGTTTCATCAGATATGTAGTTTCACTCCCATTATGTTCAGCACGCATGAGGAACCATTTCACTAAATGATGGAGTTTATAATCAAACTCAACGATGTAAAATGAGTTGCCGTCACGCAAAGAATCAGGAGCAGGAAAGCAGAACTAAAAACACACAGAGAAGTGTATCATGCTGACTTTTAAAACGAGATTAAAGACCAATTAGACAAACTCAAATGTGCCTCTTTCAAATATAACATTTGTACATGTTTTTGTTCAAAAATGGAACACATTTAGTATTTAGTACAATAGTTCATCATGTGTGGTTAACATTTTGATAAACTACAAACTTCTTCCTTAATTTACTCTCAACAAAATCCCCAAATGCATTACACATTATGTCTCTATGTTCAGCAGAGTTGATCAATTATAATTTTAAAGATTCAATCTTAAATTAATTTGGATATTTAAAATAATTAGCTGCTAGGGAGTGGTCAAGCCTCAGAAGCAACTCACGCATATATAGGCATACATAGCAAACCATGTTGGTAAAGGCAAAGAAAAACATATCATAGGTTGTATCTTAGACACACACACACACACACACACACACACACACACACACACACACACACACACACACACACACACACACACACACACACACACACACAACACACACACACAAACACACACACACACACACACAAACACACACACACACACACACACACACAACACACACAACACACACACACACACACAAATCAACTCTGGAATATTCTTTAATTACCCATATCCTCGATTATTTTTCCTTTCATCCTGAACAAAGTCCTGCTGCAGTCCTGATGAGAGCGTCTCTCTGATGTGACGGTTCAGTAGACTTCTGCTTCGAGGTGGAGATGGCACCTTTTTAATCTCCTGTTCTCATGTCATGTTGATACTTCACAAATAGTTTCAACCGGAACTTGAAAACGTGTGGTCCTTTCACAGAGTTTTAATAGAGTCACACAACCCAAATATTGGATTTCCCAATAATATGCTGATGTTGACAGAGTGACTGAATATTGAGGCCTGATCTCCTTCTATCTTATTTTCATCAAAATGGTTGCACCATGAATAAGATTGTTTCTCCAGACTTGATTAAAGCACTGATGTTTTCAAGGAAAAGACAAAACCAACAATGTGTGGCAGCACATTTAATCACTGGTGACAACAGAGTAAAACAAGACATTGCTCAGTGACAAAAATACAGATAGATACAAATCATCCATAAAGTGTGCATCATCAGAATAGTATCAGGGACAGTTTCATCCCACTGGCCATAAGACTATTAAACACCTGAGCTTGCACTACTTTTATTTGTATTGTTGTTTCTTATATGTATTTCTTATGTCTTGTTAATTGCACTGTTAAGGAACCTGCGATCACATTTGTTATACATTACATAATTACACCGTAGTTTCTAAATGTCATGACAATAAACCTTTGAATCTTGAATCTTGAAAAATAGTTATTTAACAGACTCTGGAACATTGTATTGAGAACAAGTGATGCAGCGCCCTCTGTTGGCCGGTAGAAGCAATCAAATAAAATGGTCCATAATCTTTGCAATAATCTGCAGAGTTTAAGCATTGCATCTCTAACACAATAGAATAACATTATTCACACAAAACAGAATAACTATTTTAACCTTCCATATCTAATAAAAACACCATACAAATGTTAAAGAAAGAAATATTTGCATTCATTTAGCAAGCTCCATAGAAATTAAGTTAAACTAAAAGTACATTATGAGTTAATGTTTGTGTTTTATTGTTTGTATCGAGTTTATGAAACGTTTCTGGAATTACTGTTTTTTATCCTTTTTTTGTTTTATTTTTTTGTTTGGAATTTGTTTTTATTCAGAAGTAATTTATCTTTTTTTAAATAGTTTACAGTAACCTTCTCAAGCTCTATAGGAATGAAGTCAAAGTCAAAGTATATTGATTTTAAAATTATCCATAAAATATACGAGTTAACTTTTGTGTCGCATTGTTTATTTTAAGTTCATGCAATGTTTATGTAATCGAGCCGTAACAGAAAAACGATTTGATCCTTCCAGACTGATACAAACACCATGAAGATGTTAAGGAAATAAATAATTGCATTATTTTGAGTGATTATATTATATTAAAGTGGACCTATCATACTATATTTGAATAATATAGTGTAGGACCATACCTATATAAGGCATATTTATACTTTTTCTTTTTCAAAATACCAAACAGATCATGCATTTTAGCCATGCCTCATTTTGCTCAATTTGACATTTTTTAGCTCTGTTTTTGCAAGGGCTGATTCTGTGAGAACAGCACCACCTACAGGCCTGGCATATGTACTACAGCGTCTCCAGCGCTTTCGAACGGCAATGGCCGTGGCTGTCTCCTCCTGATTGGTGGAGTTGGCCCAATAGCCGTAGCGCCACCGTCCTGACGTCAGGACAGTGTTCAAATCTGGATCAGTTTTTATCAGATCCGTTGCAGCCCCCTTTTTTAGAGATTTGGGTATGGAGGAAAATAGAGAGGGTTGTGTTTTCTGACACTTGGTGAGTTCCCTGGAACACCGGGGACACATATTCATGTATAAAAGACGTACAAAAGTGCATTTTGCATGATAGGTCCCCTTTAAGTGAAACTAAAAGTATATTGATGTCAAAATAATCCATATTATATATGAGTTAACTTTTGTGTCTTATTGTTTGTATTGAGTTTATTAAACGTTTTTGCAATTACTGTTTTTTTTTCCTTTTTTGTTCGATAAGGGAACATCTCTGCACATTTATGGAATTTGTTTTTATTTTTAAAGTAGGATAATCCATAGTTTGACATTTATAGGCCTGTAAATCTATTTCATTTTCTTAATTCAAAGAGTTAGCAGTAACCTTCTTTGATTGACTGCGCTGTGCAAACAGAGAGAGATAGAGCCTTCTTCTGGCAGATCCATTGTTTGTGGTCACCACAGCTCACTGATACCCAGTTGTTTTCCCTCAGGACAGAGATTGCACAGTGACCGTCAACAGGATCTGCATTAAAGGAGCTGAGGAGAGAACATGATGGTTAGACAAAGTCTGATTTTATTATTCAAAGTGTTTAGTAATGAATCTCTTACCTATCAGTCAGATCACTTCCATCCACCCACTTCCATTTCCCATCTTCAACTCTCAGACCAATCCAGTATCCGTTAGTTCCTGAACTCAATGGGCTGTATTTACCGATGATGACGTTCTGACAACAGAGAAACAGATATCAGGTATTTACACCGTATAAGTAAATAAACACATAATGACCTAAAGACCCAAAGTGTGTTCAAACCTACAAAAAAATGCATACACTTTTCATAATCGCATCATATGAATGGGTTTACCTTTTCAGCAGGAGTATGTGCAACAGCCAAATCTGAATTCTTTCCTTTGCAGTCTTCTCGAGCTTCTTCCCAGGTTTTCCAACCAGGAGAAGGAGGGTCATTGATCGCATTGCAGCTGGGCTGAATGTGAAACCAGCCAAACTGACAAGGTTGACACTTTTTATCTGAAACAACAGAGTCCAAACAATCAACATCATGACTGCAGTATGAAAATATTGTAATTGTGACCTAATATATAGGATCTGAACATACCGGTATTTCCTAAGCAGTAGGAATCGATGCTCCACTGAGCTTGACTGACATTGAGCTCATTCGAGGTTGTCTCCATGTTTTGTATTTGCTGTGTCAAGTTCTTCTTCTTGGTCTCCAGCTGGTGGTTTAGTTTGTTCAGGTCTTTCACGTTGCTTTCTAAGACAGTAAAGGCTTGTATCAGGTTGTCATACTGGACCGTGAGATTCTTCCATGTCTCCAGCTCCTGGATTCTTGATGTCAGGTTCAGGATTTCTGCAGTCTGCTTGGCGTTGTCTTCAGAAAGTTCAGAGGTCACTACAGAGACAGAGGAAGGTGTTGGGCTGTAAGGCTTGTGTCTCTGAGTGATTAATGATCATAATAGACATTAAAGAACAGGTTCATATGTTTTATGTTTCTTAAAACAATAGTCAGACGCACATATAAACATGTGAACGGAGCAGCATTGATGGTCTAAGATTGTTAAATCAAGTGTTTATCTTCTAAAGTAAAAAAAAAAAACCTCTTCTGAAATACATCTTTGCACAGGGCCTGTGTTAACAGGAGGCAGGATTACACCTAACAAAAGCTGTTTCTATGTACATGTGGGGCGTCTGACAGACCTGTCCTTTGAAAAAGTGAAGCATAGGAACATGTCAGCCACAGCCGGCTAACTTCACTAGAGCAGTAACAAGTTAGCAACGAGCTAACTGCATTTGGAGAGATAACAGGCGGAGCGACTGGTCTCTGTATTGTAGACATCTTACAACAGCTCTGACGATTCAAACCACTGCCTTTTGTAAAATATGGAGAACTCAAGCAGACACCTTCATACACACACTTCACCCTTCACACACACACTTCACCCTGAACACACACTTCAGCCTGTTTCAAACTGTTGAACTAACATTGACACAGAAGATACTCACAGTAGATACGGAGACCCATGATGGCTAACAGTATGAGCCAACACACTGCTATTGGAAGAAAAAACCTCAAGCCTGAAAAATAAGCATTCTGTTAAAAAACCTTAACAAAGGTTTCGAAAGGTTTCAAAGGTTTTAAAGTCATATACACAGATACAGTTTAGTCTAAAAACTGAGGTCACAGGTTGCTTAAAAAAATGTAATATAAACATATACAAGACTTAAAAGAAATAAAAAAAATAGTGCAAGCTCAGGAGCTTAGCTTTATCTTAACGCCTAAAACCATTTAACAGGCTAAGCTAATGCTTTCAATTCATTATAAACACACCACAAAAATAGCTAAACCATTTCAACCTTTATCACTATGTCACTGTTTACCTTTATATATTTTTTTTAAACATGTTAACAGTATTAAATAGTGAAATGTATTGATCAGGCACCTGGAGGGGATGCCTTTGTATCCACGGTGCCTTCTGGTGCAGATTCTTTTTTGGTGTCCTCTGAAAAATAAAAACACAATGTGTTGTGTTTTTATGAAGTTTATCAGAATCAGAAACTGGTTTATTTCCAGGTAGATTAACACATACGAGGAAATTGACTTGGTGTTGTGTTTCATACATAAACATAAAACTAAAACACAGGTGCATACATCAAAATACATACAAATTAAAATAAAATATTTTTAAAATATTAAAAAATACTAAAAAATATCAAGAATATATGCTTGCTGAACATGATGGGAGAGAAACTCAGTATAGCAGTATAATATGACTGTTGAATAGATATCATGTTTGCTTGTGTTCACAGCTCACCTGGACACGTTGCCTTTTTATCCACAGGGCCTTCTGGTGCATTCACATAGTCAGCTTCTTCTGTGATTTCCTCTGGAAGATAAACACATACTGTTTCATCAGATATGCAGTTTCACTCCCATTATGTTCAGCACGCATGAGGAACCATTTCACTAAAGGATGGCGTTTATAATCAAACTCAACGATGTCAAATTAGTTGCCGTCACGCAAAGAATCAGGAGCAGGAAAGCAGAACTAAAAACACACACAGAGAAGTGTATCATGCTGACTTTTTATAACAAGATTAAAGACCAATTAGAAAAACTAATATCTTATAAATAAAACATTTGTACATGTTATTGTTCAAAAATTGAGCACATTTTGTATTTAGTACAATAGTTCATCATGTGTGGTTAACATATTGATAAACTACAAGCTTCTTCCTTAATTTACTCTCAACAAAATCCCCAAATGCATTAAACATTATGTCTCTATGTTCAGCAGAGCTGATCAATTATAATTTTAAAGATTCAATCTTAAATTAATTTGGATAGGTTGTATCTTAAACACACACACACACACAAACACACACACACGCACACATACACACACATACATACACACACACACACACACACACACACACACACACACACACACACACACACATACACACACACACACATACACACACACACACACACACACACACACATACACACACACACACACAAACACACACACACACACACACACAAACACACACACACACACACACACACAAACACACACACACAAACACACACACACACACACACACACAAACACACACACACACACACACATACACAACACACACACACACACACACACACACACACACACACACACACACACACACAACTCTGGAATATTCTTTAATTACCCATATCCTCGATTATTTTTCCTTTCGTCCTGAACAAAGTCCTGCTGCAGTCCTGATGAGAGCGTCTCTCTGATGTGACGGTTCAGTAGACTTCTGCTTCGAGGTGGAGATGGCATCTTTTTAATCTCCTGTTCTCACGTCATGTTGATACTTCCCAAATAGTTTCAACTGGAACTTGAAACGTGCGGTCCTTTCACAGAGTTTTAATAGAGTCACATATACAACATATTGGATTTCCTAATTATGTAATCATATTAACTGCAATTTGGATCTCCAATGGATTTCTAGGCCCCAAAAACGTATGTTTAGTCACCAAAATAAGATAAGAGATACTTTATTGATCCCGAATTGGGAAAGGTTTGCGTAGCAGCAGCATAAAAAGACAATACAAATGAAAAGACTAGAAATAAACAAGAAAGTAGAAAATATACATGTTGACTACATGACTGAATATTGAGGCCTGATCTCCTTTTGCCTAATTTTCATAAAACATGTTACATCATCGTGAATAAGATGTTCCTCCTGACTTGATGTTTTCAAGAAAAAGACAAAAGCAATGTTTTTACACTTTCAAGTAATCTGGAGATTAATCAATCAATTTCTTATATTGAAAACATGCAAATAGCTTGAGTACAAACTGAATTTGAATGGTGCATTTCAGTGGTGTTGCTTTCTAGAAACAAGCTCTTAAAAAAGTCAACCAAGATACCAGATTGGGGAGTGGAGAGAAACTCCCTCTGGGGTTTTAGCCTTTGCAATCTTTATTTATTTATATAGCACATTTAACACTTTGTAGACCATTTACATACACAAAAACCTATAGAACACTACAGGAAAGGGACAACCCCAAAAAGAGGGCTCCTTTAAATAAATGTGTCTGTGTTTGTGAATGAGAGACAGACTGATTGCAGATGTGTTTGATGGGTTGAGTCTTATTTAGGGCAGATAGAGGCACGCTTCATCTCACACATCCACTTGTGTTGTTCTTCACAGCTGACCATGAACCAGGTCTTCAGAGACGACGTGTGATAGTCCACATATGCACAGTAAATGTTACTCGCAACTTCCGGTGTAGGATTCTTCCAGTTTCTATGAAACAACACAAAATACGGATGATTTGGTTAGGGTGGAAAAGCAAGGCACTTCTGGATTGACTGTGTTTGTTTGACTTACACATGTATGTCGGTGTAAGCCATGTAATAGACTGATGAGTTTTCAAGGTTGTACCCTTTCTTTAGCTTTACAGTATGCAATGAGCATTTGGTGATTTTTAAGGATAATGTTTGGATAAAACCTCGGGTGGATTTGGTTAATTTACTTTGAAGCTGCTCAGATTTACCAGTTGTTTCAATCAAAGTTAGTTGCTAAATGTCAATGTGTAATAAAGTCCAAAATGTAATATGTCAATGTCAGATCTTCGCCTTAAATAAGGATCATCGTTCAAGTTTATAAAGATGTAAAAAGCCTTACGTATAACACCGGGGGCTTGAATCCACCGTTGTCAAATACCAGTGGTTCTTTTGCCTATTCAGGTTACCACTCAGGCCCATCCACAGTTTGGCATCACCTCCAAATCCACGGACAACTTTCTGTTCGGAAGGAAGTGAATTTAAAATACTTTATCAACTTTGGTTGGTGAGGCTAACCATAAATGAATTGGTAATTGATAATATCAGAATATCAGGATTTATATAAGAAATATAACAAATACCTCTTCTGCTACATCATACAAAAGCACCAAATTAGATCTTTTGTTCTCACAGTCTTCTTTTGCGTGCTGCCAGGTATTCTCACTTGAGGAAAGCTGGTAACAGGTGGACTTGTGTCTCTGCCATCCACTGGGACAATCTGGGAGGATTTTTTCTGCTGAGAAACAAAGACCAGCTCAGGACCAAACACAGGACAGGACACATCGGGACAAAATGTGACGGGACGAGACAAGTCAGAGAAGGGCAAGGTGGGGCAGAGAACAAGGCATAAGAAGACAACACAGGACAGAAGGAAAAGAAGGGCAGGGGAGGACAGAACCAGACAGAGGACACATGTGATGATTGCAATAAAAGAAGTCAGAAAGTCTTGAAACATTTTCTAAACAGATTTACATGTTTAGATATTTCACAGGTTAAAAACATTTCAGCAAAAATATTACATTGTCTGACAAAATCTCATGGAACTTCACTCAATATATATATCAAGATATTTTAGCTTGGCCCAAAGTGGTGGACTGACAGAACGACTGACTGACATTGCCAACCATACATATACATATATATATATATATATATATATATATATATATATATATACATAAATCAATACAGGTTCAACCCTTGTGTGGTGTTCACAGTGGCGACTGGTCATTAGGGGCAGGTGGGGCACAGCCCCACCTAGTGTCAGCAGAAAGTATTACAAATAATGATTACAAAAAATGCAAAAAAAATATATATATATATATAAAATATATTTTAAGATCATGTTTAATCATCTGATTCGTCTGTACATTGCTGTTTTAGTCTGTGTTCTTCTAATTAGTGTGTCTACAGTCACAGTGTGTGCCTATTGAGCTGTTTAGAGCCATGTGGGACAAAACCTGATCATGCCCCTTCCTCTCGCTGTGAAGTGAACGGTGACTGTAAAAACTACACTGCGCATGCTCAGAGTATTTTCTTATTTAATGTGTGTGGCAAAAAAATAATGACCAGAGGGGCACGGAGCTGTCATCCCCACCATACGTCATCTCACATCATTCAGAGCTGATTGGCTGTAAGTACGTGTGCCGCGAAAAGTGTGGTGTGTGTGAAGAGGAGACGAGAGAGCTGCAGTGGCGCGTCCTAAAACCAGGAAGTAAGCACAAAAAACCAATGAGGTCTCTCCATAGGATTTTAGAAAATAGCTCGAAATAAGATCTGTGGGAAACGTACCTGTTAGATAAATGCACGTTTTGATTAGCCGGATAACATCCACATGTCTACCCTACTTTTATAATTTTTTTATCATAAATCTATCGATTAGATTTATGATAGACTTTTGAAACTACAAGAAGATAAGGAGGACTTTTACAAAAAAGTAATAGAAATGTTTGTCCAGAAGGATAGGCAAATGGACTTCATCTTCAAGTCAAGGTAAGACCGCAATTTTATTGAAAATGGGATCTTACTAAGAGAGAACAAATCAATATTTAAATGATAAAATTACATTTTTTGGGTATCCTTTTGTTGAACTGTCTGTTTAAAATTAATCGAAGCATCAGACAAAAAAAGCTTTTGAAAATAATATTATATTTTGGTTTAGGTCAAAATATAATATTTGTAAACCTGAAGAGTCAGTGCCAGTGCCTCACCAGCCATGAACCTCACTGCACGTCACTGCAGAAGCTTATATATAGACATCTAAGTTGTTTGTGCCCCACCACTTTTGTACATATAAAAACGCCACTGGGTGTTCATATTTTTGTTATTCAGCCAGTGTTCGTGGGTCTGGTGGACCCGCTGCCTTTTTGGGTTTCAATTCAACACAATCAAACTATTTTATGTTAAAATACTCAACAGATGTTTACTTCATCTCAATTACAAGCAATATAAACAGCATATATGGTTAATATTTGCCCTTTTACATTTGTTAGATCACATTAATGAATTAAAGTGCTACTTGTTTTTTTGCCCGCTGACCGGCTGGTCCTGTGGCTCGTCTTTTGTTTGTAACTAGCTGATGCTCAATCTCATCCTCTTTTTCAAAGTCACTGTCAGACTCAAGATTCTTGTGTCCCGCCCCAAATTTGCAGCTGGGATAGAATGTGAAAAAACGTAAGATTGGTTCCCGCAAGACATAATGCGGGAATGTGAGAGCAGACAGGTGTCGGTGCTTGAATTTAATTTTGCAATGTTGCAACCTTGTGCGGGAATGGCAGGGGCAGAAACACACACACACACACACACACACACACACACACACACACACACACACACACACACACACACACACACACACACACACACACACACACACACACACACACACACACACACACACACACACACACACACACACACACACACACACACACACACACAGTGGACCCGAACATCCTGTATGTAATATAAATGTGTAGGAGGGGTGTACAGTGGGTGGTCATTGAACATATGTTCTGATATATGTTCTTCACAGCAAATGAGCCAAGGCCATTGATTGGGACTTTGACAAAAATAATTTATCATATCATTTTTCTTTAGCTAAATAATGAAAACGGGTCGCACAGACCCGAACACCATACAAGGGTTAAAAACAGACTCACCCGACTGAATTTGATTTTGTAGTTCAGTGACCATCTGTCCTAACCGTGTGTTGTCATTGACCAGGTTGGTGTTATTGGCCGTTTGCTCTTTGTTTTCCTTTACCAGTAGATCCTTCTCTTGAACCAGTTGCGTTTTGTCTTGAACCAGTAGATCCTTGTCTTGAACAAGTTGATCCTTCTCTTGAACCAGTTGATCCTTCTCTTGAACCAGTTGATCCTTCTCTTGAACCAGTTGCTTTTTGTCTTGAACCAGTTGATCCTTCTCTTGAACCAGTTGATCCTTCTCTTGAACCTGTTGCTTTTTGTCTTGAACCAGTTGATCCTTCTCTTGAACCAGTTGCTTTTTGTCTTGAACAAGTTGATCCTTCTCTTGAACCAGTTGATCCTTCTCTTGAACCTGTTGCTTTTTGTCTTGAACCAGTTGATCCTTCTCTTGAACAAGTTGGTCTTTCTCTTGAACCAGTTGATCCTTCTCTTGAACAAGTTGGTCTTTCTCTTGAACCAGTTGATCATTCTCTTGAACCTGTTGCTTTTTGTCTTGAACCAGTTGATCCTTCTCTTGAACCAGTTGATCCTTCTCTTGAACCAGTTGCTTTTTGTCTTGAACAAGTTGATCCTTCTCTTGAACCAGTTGATCCTTCTCTTGAACCTGTTGCTTTTTGTCTTGAACCAGTAGATCTTTCTCTTCAACCAGTTGCTTTTTGTCTTGAACCAGTTGATCCTTCTCTTGAACCAGTTGCTTTTTGTCTTGAACCAGTTGATCCTTCTCTTGAACCAGTTGCTTTTTGTCTTGAACCTGTAGATCCATCTCTTCAACAAGTTGTGTTTTGTCTTGAACCAGTTGCTTCTTCTCTTGAATCAGTTGGTCTTTCTCTTGAACAAGTTGCTTTTTGTCTTGAACCAGTTGATTATTCTCTTGAACAAGTTGCGTTTTGTCTTGAACCAGTTGATCCTTCTCTTGAACCAGTTGCTTCTTCTCTTGAACCAGTAGATCTTTCTCTTCAACCAGTTGCTTTTTGTCTTGAATCAGTTGGTCTTTCTCTTGAACCAGTTGATCCTTCTCTTGAACCAGTTGCTTTGTGTCTTGAACCAGTTGCTTCTTCTCTTGAACCAGTTGATCCTTCTCTTGAACCAGTTGATCCTTCTCTTGAACCAGTTGCTTTGTGTCTTGAACCAGTTGCTTCTTCTCTTGAACCAGTCGGTCTTTCTCTAAAATCAAGGCTTCGATGTCAACAGCTGACATTTTGGTGAAATTGTTCGTTGAAGCGTTGTTGGACTGGGTAGAACATTCAGCTAAAAAGAGAAACATATAAGAAGTGATGTTATCTCTATTGACTTGAAGTGGACAAAAATGTTAAAGGTCCCCTATTATACTGTTTTTCATCAATATATTATAGGTACAAAAGGTGTCTGAAGCGTTTGTCTGAAACAACTAACAGATCATTGCAGCATCCCATAATCCCCTCTGTTTCAGCCCTTTTTCAAAAGTGCTGATTCTGTGTCTGTAGCTTTAAATGCTAATGAGCTGCTGCTGGTCACGCCCCTCTGAGATGTGATTGGTTAAAAAAAACGGAATGGTGCTCTAGGAGGAGATTCAGGTGATAAGGTGGGGGTTGTTACCTTGGTTGGTGATTGGCTAATGGTTACTCAACCCAAAAAAACATTGTAACATCACAAAGTGACCAAAATCTGATCAGCTCATTTTCAGACGTTTTTATATAAATGGATCAGGACAAAAAGAGAGCACATTTTTTTTCCTGAAACTTTCAGAATCTCTTTACACGGAGGGGACACATGTTTATGTATAAAAGACATGAAAAAGTGGATTTTGCATAATAGGGGACCTTTACGTAATGCTGTGGGATGTACCCAATTGTTAATTTTTTAACTGTGTGCTGAAGATAAGTGCTGAAACTCACCTGCTTGCAGCCAAAGTGAGACATTGAGAGCGGATTGTACGATGAACAGCAGGCCGAAGCTGACTGCCACCAAAATGTAGGTTTTTGACCCTCCTACAAACAGGCAAAAACACACAAACACCAAAATAATAACATTAACATGAAGATAATTATAAGTTACACGCACTGCATTTATCTGTCATTTGTATTGGGTGCATGTCTTTTTTAAACTCTAGCTTTATTAAGCCCTTTCAGTTTTCTATACTTAAAGGTAGGGTAGGTCAGTTTGAGAAACCGGCTCGAGATCGCTAGAATTTGAAAATACACGACCGGAGAAAATCTGCCACTTCCTTACAGAGCCCCTCCTCCAACACACACGAACGTGCACATGACCAATGAGGGCACGAGATAAGTATTACGGCTTCCACAGATGACATTTTTTTATGGATTTTTTGTCAAAGCACTTAAGATATTCATTGCTATCAGGATGTTAAGAGCATTCCATGGAATATAACAAAAAGTGTATCTCGAGCCGGTTTCTCAAACTTACCTACCCTACCTTTAACATACAAATGTATAATCGCATCTTTTTTTTTGTACAGTAACCAACTGAACCATGGAAATAGAGATGTACGGCGGAAAAGATTACAGTATAGGCCTACTGAGTATTTCCCAGAAGAGTTAACACACTCACAAATTAAGAGGAAGTGGTTATATTAAAACATTCTAAAGTATTGCTGATGTTACATTTTTAGAACATTGTATTTGATCATCAGCTGCACATAATCTTTTACTTTTATAGTAAAAAAAAACACAACTCTAAATTTGAAGATGTCCTCAACATATATTACAACTAGTTGGAAATAAAAAAAAAGATATACAATTATAAGTAATATTCCTGTAAGCCAGGGACTCTGCGATGTATGTTATTACTTACAGTTTTTATCGATTGCTAACACACTAAAATTATACATAAAACACAATTATTTTAACTGACACTCAAAGAGCAAAACATCGGCTCAAATCTCCAAAACTCTAAACACGTTTTCAGCTTTTCACACAATTTGCAAATCAACATGGCACTTTTTGCAAACCACTGCACACGTTTCTCCACGTAAGACACAGGAATCTGACATAAAGTCACGTGTTAGCAGGTTTAAAACACTGATATTCAAAATGCCTCACACATGGACCAATGATCAAGAAACACGTTCCACCTGACCAAACACCTGATAGCATCATTGTTGGCTCATCAATCAGGATGTTAGCACTATAAAAAGACCACAGGTGAGTACTTTCTTACAGCAACAATGGAAGCCATCATGGAAGCAAGAGGAAGAGGAAGAGGAAGAGCTGGGCTGAGAGTGAGAGTGAGAGGAGGAGGAAGAGCTTGGCTGAGAGTGAGAGGAGGAGGAAGAGTACTCTCTAATGAAATGAAATGTTATCAACCATGGTTTGACGATGAGAGAGGCTGGACAGAGGGTTAATCTAAGCCGATGTACTGTTGCCTCTGTAATCCGGACACTTAGACTTGAAAACAGGTTAGTTACCAGTTTCTAGCTCTGCATAATTCATGATATATCAGTGCTTATATCTGTTGTGTGAAACGTATTTACTTCATTACTGTAATTTAATTGTTGGCATGTTGCATACTATAACTGTACAACAATCCTGCACAATTGACTGTGGTAGACTGACTTTTATGCAACACAGAAACTGTCCAACCACGATATCTTTGTTGTTTATCTGAAGGACTGAGAAACAAAGAGGTGCAGGTGGAAAGCTCAGGGTTTTCAATGAGGCAGGAAGCAGCAGTTACAAACTGGGTTTTGGCAAACAATGCCATCACACTTAGAGAGATCCAAAGCATATATGTGCTGAGATGCATGTTGCACCATGTTATATTTGAATAAAATATGATTTTTTCAACAACTCATTTGTATTTCTTCATTTACTGTATTTCTGTAAACTCAAGCAATCTTTCTCTGCAGAACCCTCTATGTACAGAGCATAGCCCATAACAGATGAAAGTGCTTTAGATTATGACCAGCAGTGTGTAGTTGGGTGGTCAAACAATCTAGTATTATGAATGAAGTGTGTTATATTTGGTGCAAAAGTTTGCATTTGGTAAGTGTTTATGTCGTTTTGAGTGCAGTTCTTCACTTAGCAGGAGAAATGAGGTGTTTTGCACTTTGGGTGTGTGGTTTTGTGAATTGTGTTTAGTGTTCTGAGAAACTGAGCAATTTAAAAAATAATGTATGTTAGCAATCGAGAAAAACTGTAAGAAGTCCTTTAAAAGAGTAGTCATTTTTAAATAAATAACTTGAAGAAAGCAGGTTATTTATATTTGGATTGTTTTGTTTGTTTCGTAAAAATGTATCAATAAGCTTTATTTCTTTAAGGAAGCTTGCGAAACCCAAAAAATAATTCACATGGAAAAACAGTTACAAGCTGCCATCTAAAGTAAACATTTAAAAGGGTCAGAGATAAAAAATAAATAAAAAACGTAAACTTACTTGAAGTATTCTGACCTGGATGAGTTGGTTCTCTTTGTGCCCGTCCATTTGTTCTTTCATTAGCTGGTGATTTGGCATACTGTCCCATCTCCATTTTTCTTACAGTGACAGTCTTCAACCAAAGCTTCATAAAGCTCTTTGTAAATGTGTGAACGTATCCGTTTTTATAGCTTGTGTGGTGTGTGTGTGTGTGTGTGTGTGTGTGTGTGTGTGTGTGTGTGTGTGTGTGTGTGTGTGTGTGTGTGTGTGTGTGTGTGTGTGTGTGTGTGTGTGTCCTGTGTGTGTGTGTGTGTGGTGTGTGTGTGTGGTAGTAATGTTTTGAAGGATGCCATAAAGTGTAGTTCCCTCTAGATTAATTGTTATAACGGACTAAATCTACGGGTCGAAAAAGTGATGTTTAAAACCCAAAAATGAAAACCAATGACATTTTCATCAGGCACAGTTGTACTTCTTGAGTGCTAAAGAGCAAACGTCAGCATTTATATATGGACAACACTGAACATTTGTGGATGTTATCTTGGGCTTTGGGAAACTCTGAAGCACATTTTGTTCGACATCTTCTGAAACTTGATAGAACAAGTGATTTAAATGAGAAAAGGATCAATGAGAATCAAACAAATGTTTAGTGGCAGCCCATTATGGCAGATTATAATAAATACAAAGCACCCTTCACCTTAACTGCACTTCAATTATGTATTATTTGAGTTAGGCAGAAGCTTACAGTACATCAGTGAAACAGTAATATGAATAACATTTTGTAAACAAAAGATTTATTCAACACATTTAAAATATATCCCATTTTCCCGTTTTGAAACGTTCTACTTGATGGATTCTTAAGAATAAAGCTGCGAGCAAGAATGCAAATTCTCCAAAATTGGATGGAGCAACTCTTGCCGAGGATTAAGATTGAACAGGACAATCAGTTAATGCAATAAACGCTTAAATCTAGGGTTCCTGCACCTTTTTAACTGTTCCTACGTCCTCCATTAAAGCTGACAACAGTGGAGCGACAGAGGGCCGATAAACAAAGAAGTGCCATTTCTTAAAAGCATCCTCCCGTTTCTTGTAAATGCTCTTGCTTAAGTTGAAACGCCCTGGACATTTTTTTACCCTGACAAGCGCTTTCATTTCCCTAAACATTCATTTCCCACACAGGACACAGGATGATAAGCACTACATTTGTTCTAAGTTAACCTTCGAAAGCCCTAATCATTTTAAATCTTGCTTTTCAGTTCCTCTTTACTGCTGGTTCCTTTGTGGAATTCTTCCCTTTCCATTGACCTTGTATCTTAATTTGTTGACGACAAAGAGACTCCCCCTGTAATGTCTTTGAGGTCTAACAGCGTTATTATCTGACCTTTTCCTTTAAAATAAAGGCCTTCTAGTTTTGGCATCAATGTCAGTGTTTTCATTTTCTGTGTCCACCCTATAATAACACATCGTTTTTCGGGGTAAGTCGTTGATTTAGAAAAAATAAAAAGCACACTTGTTCATAAAATGGCGTCTATAATATAAGTGTAGAAATCCATGAATAAAAGGTAAATGATATGTATGTTAAATATCCGATAAAAAGTCAGATAACGTCGGAGCTTAAAGGTACTACTGTCTTTAATAATTCCGGCCCGAGGCCCGTTTAATACCGGGGCTCGGTACCCATCCCTACATGGGGAGCATAGGCGGAGTTTGACATTTGCGCTTGGGGGGGCAAACCTTTTTTACTGACGTCAGTACACAGTCCCAACTATTGCGTGGGGTGCTACGGATACAGTAGCAATAAAGCCAGCGTTCACCGCACTGAGTATGACTTTTCCACATACGAACACAACTCGTCCCGTCATGCACGCCTCATGCCCGCCGTACACACACACTCATATGGAAGGGGCGGTCTCTCCCCCCAACAACAGTGCATTACATAACTGTAAAACGTATCATAACTGTGCACATCTTATACTTATTTGATAACTACTATATCCCTTGGTTACTTGAACACGCTACAATATTATTAACCAGTGTCTTACCTTATTAAATGCAATGCCCCCCCTGCCCCCCCGCAAAATCCGCCTATGATGGGGAGAGGCGCAGCATATTGCTAAGGACTAAATGCGATGGAGAGTTCTCATCTCAGCTTTATTACCCATAGGGGATGAAGAGGAGTAAGTCAATAAAGAGGCCGGCGCTCCAGGGTCTGGTTCTGCTGTGCGTTTTCGTGATGTAACGGTAAGAAATTGCAGAATTCCTCCACGTGTGTGTGTGCGTGCGTGCGTGCGTGTGTGTGTGTGTGTGTGCGTGCGTGCGTGCGTGTGTGCGTGTGTGTGTGTAGCGACAGGGGGCCGATAAACAGGTGTGCTATCTTATAAAAGCATCCTCCCGATGTTCTGTTCTGCTGAGGAACAAACACAGATCAGGACGCATCGGGACAAGATGTGACCGGGCGAGACAAGTCAGAGAAGGTCAAGATGGGGCAGAAAACAAGGCATAAGAAGACCGATGACAAGACGAGGCAGAGCAGTTTGGGAGGGACAGTTCAGAATGTGGTCAAAACAAAACAGGACAAGAGAGGACAAATAGGAGACCACAGGGAAGAAGGACCAGATTAGATGATGGCACTAAGTGAAAGTCAGATGATCACAAAAGTCATTCAAAGTCTTCCTCTGGAAAAATGTCTGATCAAAATGTTGTGACAATCAAATCGGAAGATATTAAGATATATTTGCCACAATAAGTGAAAACTTAAACCAGCTGGCGGTGCTTCAGGATACCAGAGAAACACATCGTCTGACAAAATGTTCCTTCAGTCTGAGATGACATTGCCAACCGTAAACTATAAATAATACATAGTTTCAAAAAGAAGAAACTCACTCACCTGATTGAAGATGATTTATCTGATTTTGTTGTTCGCGGACCATCTGAACCATCTGTTGAACCAGTTACTTATTATCTTGAACCAGTTGGTCTTTCTGTTGAACCAGTTGGTCTTTCTGTTGTACGATGCACAGCAGGCCGAAACTGACTGCCAACAAAATGTAGGGTTTTTGACCCTCCTACAGGTTAAAAACAAACATAGCACTTTAATTATACCAACACGTATATATAAATATATATCAACATGAGGAAATGTTATCAGTTATATTTATGCATTTCTTCTGGCATTTTTAGAGATAGTTAAAAAAAATGTAAGTATGGCATTTCAAGCCCTTTTGGTTTTCTACTTAAATGTTTATTATATACCGTATATAATTAACATATACAAGTATAATCATATCTGTTTATGCACAATAATCAACTGAACCATGAAAAGAGAGATGACCAGCGGAATAAATTACACTATCTTGATGTTTTTGGGGTTCACAAAAGAGGAAGTGGTTATTTTTCAAGTTGTCTATGACATTGATGTCACTGATGAACTTGTTTACTTTTACCATAAACATAAATAAAAAGCTACCATTTTAAATGTGAAGATTTACATTAATCCAGACTAGTTAGAAGATAAAGTTGTTAATAATGTCCACACCAAGATGTAACGAGGGACTTTCAACAGTATGGTACAGCAGACAAGCCTTTTAGAAAGATTTACCATTAAAATAAAATCATATTTAAAATGTAAAAACGCTAACTTGCAGGATTCATTACACACATTCAATACAAAATTATATTATTTCTTAAAGGAAGCTTGCAAACCAACATATTTAATTAGCATGAATCACATGACAAAAGTTGCAAGCTGCCTCCAAAGACGAAACAATAAAATGATCAGATCAAACAAAAGACTTCAAATTACTTAAAGTATTCTGACCTGGATGACGTGGTTCTCTTTGTTCCTCTCCATCCGTCCTTTCATTAGCTGGTGAGTTGACATACTCTCCTGTCTCCATTTTTCTTATTTTTCTTACAGTAACAGTCTCCAACCAACGGCTAAATGAACCACTGCCATGCCGTGTGAATTGTCACCGTTTTTATTAGCCTTGTGGTGTGTGTGTCGGTGTGAATTCATACATCCTTATTTATTCCATCTGATAATGATGCAATGCCACACAAACAATGGTGTCACCATCCACAGATAACCACAAAAGGTGTTAATGCTCGACTTAGTTGAGAATCAAAAGACTAAACCAGTGGTATACAATAACATCTAGAGTCCAGGCCCTAAAACTGACTTATAACTTTCTCACATTTAGCTGCAGATTCTCCACAAGGGGGAGCTGTTTGCACTCAGTGAACACATTGATGTCTTCACTCTGGGATGTTGGCTGTCACTTTGGCTGCATGTGCAACACACTCTCACTCCCTAAGCATCCAGGAGCGACGCTTGGTCAGGGTCCCGTGGCGTGCAGTTGGGACGCGCCGAGGCTCCTTCAGCTTCATAAACGGACGCAAAGAGCTTTCAACTGATTGCAATGTATTCCCATCGGCGGCGGTATTTGACGCTCAGGGGAGCACCGCATCGGTCCATGTCGGCGGCATTTAAAGGCAATGTGAGCGTCCATTCCCATTGGATAACGGAGGATTTTACACCCGGAAGTAACTATTCTCCTTACTGTCGATTGATTTTACAGTGATATCTGCACTATTCATCAACTCAAAAACACCAGATTATCCTTGTTAATTACACAACATTGATTGGTTTAAATTGTGTGCAATGCAATGTGTTTTTCCCCTTTGATTCGGAGAAACAAATATTTTTTCGGAGTTTAGGATGGCAGAAGACACTACACTACCCAGAATCCTCAGCTAACGTTTGAGACTACACCATGTGCTTTGTTTGACAAACCCCGTGATTAGTTCTCAAGCTCTGTGATTGGATGTTGGAGTGGCAGTGCCCGAAGTTTACGCGTCAAACAGCACTTTGAAATGGAATGAACCCCATCGACGGCACACTATCCAAATCAAGACTCAAACGTGTCCTACTCCTCCTTTCCTCCTATTTTGTATATACTCTTAATATTTAAATGTTTTCATAAAATATAACACATTCAAAAGTGCTTTACAAAATGAAAGACATTAAGAAAAAGGCATTTTAAACAGTCATTAAAAAGCAACACAATCTACCTGCATTGCAATTACTCGAAACATGTAATAACGTGCTTTAACCAGTAGGTGGTGCGGGTTAAAAAGCTGTCAAGTTTACAGTGTTAAAGGGCCCATGTC